CAAGGAGCGCGGTCTGTCACTGCCGTACGGGAACTACACGCACAACAGTTTACACAACAAGGGAGAACTGAGGTTGGCCTTCGTTAGAGGGATTAGAGGCCTAATCTAAAACACCGCACAAGTCGCTCATCCCAAAACCCCAAACAGCCTCTCCGGGGGGGCCCTTCCCTCCTCCACCAACCACAACATCTCAGACTTCAAAGACTCCATCTGTAACCCCAGCCTCTGGGAGCTATCCCCTCTCTCATCGACCCCTATCTCGGAGCGAGGGGTTGCAGCGGGGGATGGACCCCATGTGATGGCGCAGCTGTGGAATGATTTATTGCAGGGTTAATCGTCGGGTGAATGGGATTTGTAGCCTCAGGCTGCAAGTTCTGGTTTGATTGCGGGTTCACCTGCTATCAGGTTGTAGCACACAGTTGATTAGCTAGCTAGACAACTGCGAGAGTCAAGGGCGGAAAGGTTAGAGTCCAGGTAATAGAGGGTGTTCTGCTCTATTGCAGTAATTAAGGGCCATTCGTTTTGGACTTCCCAGCTGCATGGTGTCTGTCCGCCATAAAGCAGCAAGCAGCATCTTCTGATGACTTTGACCCTCAGACATTTTGTTTCTCATGTGGTCTAAAGAATGGAACAACACTAATCCACGTTGCTATCTATGCAAATAGCTCTGGTTTTATGTGATTGAATGGCGTGCATCGAGTTTTGACTCTGCGGCTGAAAAATTCCTTTCTCAATAAACTAAATGAAACAGTTTTCTAAAAACTATCTACCCATTACTACTTATATCTACATATATTTCATTACCGAACACTAATGGACTTTTAATGTTTTGTGCTGTTAGTGTATTTGTTGTCATGTGGTGTTTTTTTCTAAACGTACAAGGGTAACAGATGCAAATCATCTAACTAACTGCGGTGCAATTACTTTTCCTTGTACGCTGACCCTGCAAACATACACAATGTAATAACTTACATTTTATTACTTTAGCACAGTTTCTCACAATCAGACAGATCAAAAGAAACAGTTCCACAAATCACAGGAAAGATTGATTTAAAAATGTGGTTTGAAGAAAGAAGCAGACACAAAGAGGGCCGTGCTGCAGTCAAAGAGCAGATCTTGAGATGGACGCAGTAAACAGACTCGGTCAAGTTGAGTTTTTTATCATTATTTTTTTTTCATAGCGTGGCTTCTGTTTAGCTTTTGGTTTGTGAGTTCTGGTACTTTGTACTTTGTGAATGATGCTTACAATCTCCCACCAGTTGTCCCAGTTAACCAATCAACATACTTTAATTTCTAAATAAATGCATAAAAAACACATGCTACAGTGATCTGGCACAGTAAGTCACTATGAGCACAAATGGCAATGTCAGTATTGCATATGAATCTCGATCTCTTAACAAGAATAAAAATGCACAAACCTCTCTATAGTCATTATTCTACTGAGGAACTACAGTACTTACTTGTGAAGAATCAGCCCTGGTTAAATCAGGGTGTTCTGTCTTTTTATCAAGTATAATTGTGACGCTGTTTCTTTAAAGAGATGTTACCCGAAAAAAAAGCAGACATTTCAGAAAAGAATATCTTGAAACCTGTTGATCTTGAAGCATATGAAACCCAAACTAACCATTTGTGTAGCTTACATTGAGACCGAGGGAGAGAGAGAAGCGTCAGGAACAGTGTAAGAGTTAATGAGCACCAATCGGCCTGCACCGCATCATCGCGCGTGACCTATTCTTTATCCTTTCACCTATTTCTAGGTATTTGTAGGTAAATTCCCAATATTTGGACAAAAACAACGAAGAATATGCACTCCCTCCTGTCCATTGGGCTCAAATGGACTGAGGACAAAACTTTCCCACTTTTAACACATTAAAAACCTAAACCAGACTATGGAATCCAAGGGTGTGAGGTGGAGACGGAGGTGATGGTGCACATGATGGAAAATCAACTGCCACATTTTTAGCTCTGCTGATCGGATTGCTTTTGGCGTGGCTCCCCTAACGCCAGGCTGGAATCTATACCTTTTTATTATTTCCCGTAATGTGAGCACTGGCGGAAAAGGTACCTCTGTGAAACCCCGCTAGCTGTGAAGTAATCACCCAAGTACGTCCTTGTTAGCCATGAGTCCAGTTGACACTCACTGGGCTTTTGCCCAAGCTAAAAGTATGTCTCCTTTTCTTTCATCTCCCCTCCCTTTTATTCAGCATGTGAGAGCTTTACTAGGTGCTGCTGGTACGTAGCCGAACTGAGGCCTTAAGCCCCTCTCCTGTTAAGAAGTGGGATGCCAAACATCCTCTGATTTACAGCCCGGAGCACACGCTATGCCTTTACTCCTATGGGCTATAAAAGGCAAATGAGAGCGAGATGTCCAGATCCCACTTGCTATATTAACCTGCATTCTTTCCAATGGAATAGATGTGGCTGCATGAACTGACTATAACCACATGGTGGAAACAGCCAAAGCTTCCAGGCATCCAACATGGAGCTCACGTGAGGGGTCGGAACAGCGGTCTGATAAAATCAGCTGCTGACCTGCTCTCGCATGCTACGTATGGAGCGGCATTCCTTTTCTGCCACACAACGCTGGCTCCACATCCTTGTCTGGCCTCAAATCATATGAAATATTTCCTCCGGTGTTTAAGGCAGGAACACCTGGGGACCCGAGTGACATGAAGTCAAAAAGAGAAGTGTGTGAAATAGCTGTGCAGCCGACTGCTGCTAAGCATGTACCGGGGATAAGGTTGGCCAACATGCATCTTTTTTGTTGGCATTATTGACTAACAGGGTGATCCACCCAATGGCGAGTGTGGAACATCCATTGAGCCACTCTGCTTGGAGCTTCTCTCAGGTGTGAAATAAAACGCGGCAGTGTGGCTCACAACGTTCTCTCGGGTCCTTGTAGTCTTTTGAAGCACATCGGGCCTTTGTCGAAGATGCCGCCAACTGCCTTAACCCCACCCGTTTCTCTCAGGATTAGCTTTGCTATGATTTAGCGCTGTTTCTCACTGGCCTCTGGAATGCGACGGATGACGGATCTATTTTCCTACATTGTTTCACCTGCTCTAAATGGAACCACATGCTGCACAGGACCGCCTCTCCTTCGCCTTGTAATTGGAAGCACATGCACGGTTAAGCTAAGAGTTAAGCGGAGCAGCCGTAACCGACAGATCCACCCCCGTCTACCGACTCCCCCCCTCCCCTCCCCTCGGCCTGGGGTGCGATTTCAGTCCGGGGCCATGTGGCGGGCCACAGCGCGGAGCCCGAGAGAATCTATTGAACTAACTGACCTGGCATTTCACGTCAAATTCAGTTCCCTGGGACGACTATATCGTGTGTCCTGGGAGTCTTTCAGGCCCTCAGATTTAAGTTTGAGTGACAATTGAAAGTCTGCTGAGGAAGGAGACCTTGACGTTGAGTCTGGCGTGCTTCGGGAACACAAGCAGTACTACACTGTCCATTCGCCACGGTCTGTCATGTCTGGATGGGACAGGCCTTGGGTATCTCAGACTGTAAGAGATAGCATTAGGGAAGAATGTATGATATTTATTAACCTCATCGGTCATGATAATTAAATATGTCTGTCAGTGATGTATGGGACCATTCAGTGCTATCCAGAGGGAGAGAAACGTAACTCCATATTCAAACGAACCCAAGGCTCGTTGCCAGGGGTTCTCCATCGAATTCCCCGAACAATCGATTTCCTAACCCAAAGGTCTGAATTTGTTTGTGCACATTTGCTGAGCTAAAAGTTGTCAAAGTCCACCTCCAAGCAAAAATGTATTGGTTAATTGCTTGTTGATGCAGTCCTTGCAGATTGTTTTAACATTCATCTGCTGAAGGGGGAAAAGTTTCTTCGGACTGAGCTCAAATCTGAAGTTATTCACTGTCCACAATGTTACTCACACAAGTGTGTTGTGGAAACTCTGGAAACCACTAGAACTTAACTGAAAATATATTTACACATTTGAGAAATCTGGGCTTTTTCCAGGCACGGAGAAGGAACAGAAGTAATTTTAAAGAATTTAAATCAACGAATTAAACTTTAAACAAAATATGAAAGAGCATTACCGATCAATCGAGGCTGGAAACTCTCCACGTTCCAACAAAATTGCCATTAAAAAATATGATGAATTTGATCTTGAGGAAGGTGAAGAGGTTTTTATGTCCTCTTTTTATCTGAGCCAATTTGGAACATTAGACCAGAACGTCAGGCTTACATGTTTGAGTCAGGGCTTTGTATTTATGTGAACATTTTGGAAAATGCACTTGGCAGCAAAGTGCCTCTTTTCCCGTTTTAGTTTGTCATCACTGGGAATATCGGACGTACAAAACACCCTTTTTTCGGGTTTCAGCCCCATTACTGTGAAACCATAAAGCAATGCCCCGTGATTGAGCCTGACATCGTCTGTAAACTCATCAGAATGTAAGCTCACGTAGGCCTCTAAGAGGCCTGATTGCCATGGAAAATATGGCATGGATTTTTCCACCAAAACAGTGATTAGCACCCTGTTACAGTTATTGGGCTAGATTAGTGACTCTGGCGCCATAGATTAGTGCAACCATCTGGCTACACCAGTCATCTGAAGGAGATTGTGAGGGCTGCTGGCGGGCTTTAACCATCTTAGCACTGTGCGTGCACCCTTAAAGAGGCTGCTGGACGCAGGAGGAGGACATGCTCCTCACTTTTCATGGATATCGGAGACTGAAGGTAGATATCTATCAAACACGGTGTTTGGTAGACCGGACTCTTGCTGGCTGAGAGGTTGAAGCTTAGACTGTGCTGCAGCGACATCTAGTGCTGACAGTCGGATTGTATGAAGAGAGGTTAGTTCAGGCTTCATGCGTCAATTATTTTCTCTTCCTAGATAGAGACAATGCACAAATTATTTGTGGAGATTGTATATACGTTTTTTTCAGTGGCGAGATCATCCAACCCATTCAAGAAGAAATGATAAATTGAAGAAAATATAAAGATGAATACTAGACAGTGAATCAACCTGTAAGACAATAAATATTTTATTTAAAAAAATGTTACTATTGAAATGGAACAACCAGATTTATCATTGAAGGACACATGTATGTTAGAAACATTTTAAACACAGCCGATAGTTACTCCAAACCGGAAATTACACAGTAAGTCTTCATGTCAATTGCAAATTAAAACAAACAAAAAACATGAGCATCAACCAAACATTTGGTTATTCACTTCAGATGTCCCAGTTCTTTACGGAGCTGTTTTGTTCTTTTATATGAATGTACGATCAATGGCGATGTTGCCAATGCCAGTAAAATACATATCTGAGAAGACGGTACGGTTAAGGGTAGGAAAACAAATGATGGCTGGCGGCGTGGTTGGGATTGTGCTATTAAATAACTTTGTTGTTGGAAGGATTGTCTTTACGGTTAATTAAAAGGAACGTAATAACCACCCTGAACTCTGAACTGAGGCGCCTGGCCGCAATGAGACAACGCCACTCTGGGACTCTAACCCAGAGAATACCACACAGAAATATTAGCTTCTCATTTATTTTAAGAAAGGGAGCAGAGAGGTGAATTTCTAGTTTCTTTTGAACAGTGTCCAGTTTTATTTATGGATAGGCTTCATGTCTGTTAACAGTCTTGATTTTAAAATAAGGCTTTTATTACAAAAAATATCTATGCTAAAAATTGATGTCGCTACACTGAGGTGGTTTACCAGCACAAGGTGACTATCAGGGAGGTCTAAAGGGGTGGGGGAGTGAAGGGGGAAGGGGGGAGGGGGAAGGGGGCCACCACCAGGGACCGGAAAGCAAAGCAAAACACACAAATATAAAACATGCCAAATAAACTATGAATGAGGAAGCCCTCCACCTAGTGGACCACGACCTACAGACCGATGACCAGCCCACCTGTACTGGCATTGAGGACCCCAGAGTAGGACCCACTCCAGTCGGTTTACGAAGCAAAAGAACAGAAACAACTAAACAGCAACTCGTCTGGAGAGAAAACAAATGAACTAACAATGCACAATCAAAATACTGGATAAAACAAAGTAACCATAAATACACGTACAAAACTCCACCCAACATCACGGCACCGCTACAGAGCACATCGAAACGCAATCAAAATCTCTGAACACATGAAATGATCAAATTACATTTGAGACAACAACACATCTCACACAGATTAATGTTGGAATACCATCCAGCTTTGTATTGATGTATTTATGTGATAGAAGTCATTTCTCGACCGTCCTCTGTCCTTTGGGGACTCATTAGCAAAGCTAGGAAACATCTCGCTCAGCATGACATGAGCAGCTTGGCCTTCATTACTGCAAAGCATGATGCACGGTCCCTGGATGGGTTCAGTCGGCTGCTGTGCACTCAGAGAGAGGACAGGATTCACCACCAGCCCACCAGCCTTCCTCCTCTGGAGACCCCCGACTCTGTCAATTACCGAGATGGAGCTGTGATTGATCGTGTTGCAGCCACACAAAAATCCATTGGGTCGATAACAACAATGGTCCCGTTCAGAAATCCCCATTGGATTGTGTCCGGTAGTCTGTCTATGGGAACTAGGAACACATGTAGTCACTCAAGTCACAAGCTCATTCATTACAAAAGGCACATTGATTTCAACAAGGACCACAATCAATAACCACAGCTGTGCATGGACAATATAAAAGTTTTTAATCATAAATAATTTAATCAGATGATCATGCATGAGTTTCACAGAGTCATCTCAGCACGATTGCTGTATTAGGCGATATGACTCGGTGTTAGTAGTGCATTTACACCACCGAGGAGCAGCTCATTTGTGCATTAGCGATGAGATGTTGTTGGATAAAAAACACACAGAAAATGTGAGACAGAAAAAAAGCTTTACCAAACAAACTGGATCACCTCAGTCATTACCTCTCATAATCATGACATCACAGCCATCACAAGCCTAAAGCATAAAGAGACACAGGCGAGTTGTTAATAACCACTCAGGATGAATCCACTGTGTGAAAGAAATTCACGGATGCTTTGACCTCCATTCTTTTCTTTTCCAGGCTTCATTTGCCACAAGAACTGAAGGATCTTATGACTAGTTGGAGAAATATTTGTCTTCTTTCCACAAATTTGATGAGTAAAACCACAGACATGCAATGCCGATCTTCTCATTTATTGTCAGTAAGAAAGCAAAAACAAATACTCCAAAATGTCTACTTACTCCTTTATAAAGTATGCTACGGTTCTAACTACGTCCCTAAGCCCACCCAACCACTACAACATTCAAAAAACAACTTTTTATCTTATGTAGAGAGCTTCGCTTCTGACCAGATTCTGCCTCCTTCTTCCTCTTAGATCAATTGAATAGGTCAAAAGCAATGACATCCATCACATACAGGAGGAACAACCATAAAGGGCAAAGAAGGGCTGATAAAAGAGGGAGAGACAGGCTGAAAGAAACACTCTAAAAGCCAAAGACCTCTAGTAGGGACTGCGGCAGGGAAACTGAGGGGAGAAATATGGACATCTAGGAGAAAGGACACCCAAAAATATAATGTCCTTGGCGGGCTTCTGGATCACTCGGTGCTGTGGCGCTGTGGACGCTGCAGCTCTTCCTTCTAATATTCTGTAAACTACACAGTGCATTGAGCATCTCTTTGTGTCTGCAGCGTATTCTGCCAGAACAGTGTAACTGCTGCCACATGACATCCCATCGTGTCAAAGTGGCTGATAGCTGGCGTCACAGCTCGGCAGCTTGTGGGCGTCATTCTGGAGAAAACAGACACAACCAGTAAACAGTAAGCTTGTGTTCAGGCATAATGAAATAACTCCTTGTTTTAATGCAACTGGTCAGTGAAGGCTACACACGCGTGCACATTATGTGAACACCGTTTCACTCTTGACATCTTCATACGCCACTAAAGGTCACAGGATTGTTTGTCAAAAAGAAGAGCATCAGCTTTATGGTTAAAGTAATATTTACAGAAGAACAACATTCACAATAAAGTGTGATACACAGTGTATGAAATTGTAATTGAGATTGTAATAAAAAAAAAACAATGTCAACCAACGCACTCAACAAAAAATGATTATTGTAATTAGCATTCAGATCCATCATTATAAATCTGTGTAATTTCCATCTGTTTGGTTGCAGCAGGTCACTGGTTGCAATCAATTCTGTTTTCAGCCACTTTATGCAAAACTCAGACCCCCCCATTGATCCTTTATGTCTTCTAATAGAATAAACTGACTATTATTGCAGAGGGCTATTGGTCATTTTCGTGTCCCCCAGACATTAAGTTATTCAGTTGCCTGGGTCCCCTGTGTCCACCTGATGGAGAAAGAGAACCACAGAGCCAAGATGGCTGTCACATCGCCCGTCTCTGCCTCCAGCCGCCAGTCCCAGGGTGGCTCCGATGCAATCTGCTTCTTTTTTTGAAGAGTGAAGGTTGATGATGGATCACTGTGCCACCCATGACTCCATGAAGCGGCATCTTCAGACCCCCTCCCCCATGGGAAGGTGTGTGGACACCTCGCTCCCTGACAGCGTAGAAGTGACTTTATTAAGCGTGTGGTGAGCCAGAAATAGGAGCACTTACATGCTCGCTGCCTGTAATGTGAGTGCTTCTAAGTGAACAAATAGGTAGGATCCTGTTGAGACAAAGGACAGAGTCATCGGCTCTTCATGCGAGTCTTCGTCGCAACTGCCAGAAAGGAAATACAGAAGAGCAGGTGATGTGAACAGTTGGACGGTCATGTGTTTTTTTATAAGTACCTCTGTTGTGTTTCTTTCAGTAGCTGCTAATCTGCAATAGGGGGGGTAAACAGAATCAGTGCCGGGGTATTTGTAGTTCCAGACAGGTGGTTACACAAACAGTGGTCAATCAAATCAATTCCAGCGCACACTGTGTGAGATTGAGTAAGGCTCCCGAATGGAAATAGTAGTGAGGCTCACATTGAACACAATGTTTTTATTGGTGTATAATCATTTTGCATTTAGAGTCTGTCATCTTCTCCGAGCCACGTGGCACCGTCCTATTTTCACAGCAGCCCAGTACAGACAAACCACCCAGCGGCTGCCGGTCTCCCTCCTGCTTTGAGCGGAAGGGTTTTCAGTTGGTTGCAATCTGCAACGTCATCGCTGGATAACGCTTTATCCTACACAGTGCTTCTTGTGGTGCGGAGGTCACGTAATGAATAAATCGACGGAACATACGTGACATAAGTCAAGGTTAACTCCTCCTGTGTGCCTCATCATAACAGATCATCTTGGTTTACGATTGCGTGCGAATTGATTACATGGGTTGTGCAGATTTTAGTGCACTAAATGGATATGACATATCACAAAGTGAGAAAAAAAGAAGATACTTGTGCTGCCATGGTTGAAACACATGCTGTGAACCACATTCATCTTCACAGCTATGAGTAACTGTAACAGTAAATGGGATATTTCTTGTTAATATTCACTAAAAGTAAAGGTCAAATACAAGCCACAATGCTGTAGGCAGGCGAGCAGGCACATGGTTTCATGGGGTGGCAGCTCAGCCAATTGGGATTATTTCTCTCAACGCCCTTGGCTGCTTCACAACAAGATGCTCCTCGATCATCCAGAAGGTCATATGCACAGTTCAGCGTTAGCGACGTTTACCTTTGCATGTGGACTTGGACTGACTGGCAGCCACAGCGGTCATGTCTGCTGGTAGACCCACATATACGCCCCCATAGTTCCTGAGAGGAGCGATTAAAAGACAAGGTGGTTGGATTATGTTGTGACGGCTGTGGTACAGTTACTCCTTTGAGCAAAGCTTTCGTTTTCTAACTGTCAGTGGAAGATGGCAAAGGAAAAAGCCAATTACCTTCTTTTCTCATCGTCCGGCGAGTGATCTTCTGTCCTGATTGAGAGAAGCACAGGTCAGGTCAGCTCTTATGGGAGTGCAGAAGTAAAAAAAAAAAAAAAAACAGTACACGCTGTTGAGAAGCAGAAATGCATTTTCTCAGCTGCAGAGCATTCGAGATACACTGAATGAGCCCTTTGGGGAATCGTGCTAATTCCCATGTGGGAGTCCTCAACAACTGACGATCAGGCTGAATTGCACATTTTTGTCTCGGGTCTTGGAACCAGGCTCCTAAACTACCGGTTTCCAATGACAGAGCTTTATGGTGTGTTTTGCTGTTGTTTGTTTGTTTTTAATGACTGACATGAGGCTCCAACACCTAATTTCATCTAGATTATTTCTAAAGGAGTGTTACCAAAATATTGGCTTGTGTCTTTCCTAAGTTTGCCTGTGTGAGTGTGTGTGTGTGTGTGTGCGTGTGGGTATATTTTGTTGTGTTGTCGGTGGTGAGCTACTGTCAGCTCTCATGAGGCCTGTGCTGACTATTCAGATGGTTATCAAGGAACACACACACACACACACACACCCACGTCCTGACTGATTCCAGGAAATGCTTTGGAAACGCTGCCCCTCCCAAAGTTACAGACGCTAACTGTTGATGGCCAAAGACATCCTGTCCTCCACTTAACACTCACAGATAATGTCTGGATTTCATTTTATAAAGCCAAAAGAAACTCCTTTTACACAAAGGGTTTTTTGTGTACCAGAATCAGAGGGACCCTGGTTGTGGGGTCAAGTACTGTATTCATTTTTTCAATCTCTTTTTTGGTTTTTGACTGTTGACACATTGGAGAAATCAGCATTTTCGATTCAGAATGACTATATTATACATATATATTTTTGTTCTTCTTGTATATTTCTTTTCTTTTTACTACAAAACACTTTCATTTGTTTGTATAACATCACTGAAATATCAGTGTGGACCAAAATATTTGAACAATATAACATATATTTCAAGGTATAAATTGTGATGTGAATGTCCAAAGACGACAGTTGATGAGCTTCATAAATACTTTAAGTTTGAAATGACTCGTGTACTTACACATCTTTGGAGACGTCTTCTGGCCCTGAAAACACGTTAGAAGACCAGATTTATTTCACGTTAGTAGTGAAGAGTTTTGAAAGAGGTGAGCAACCTGACTAATAAAGGCCTTGGGACCTGTACCATAGACAAGACTTTATTAAAGTATTTCCTTTCCTCAGCTGCACGCTCTACGAAACTGGGACAGAACGAACCGACTCAGCATCGACCCAGCAGACATCATATTCTAGGAGGAACGATATGACGTGAGAGTGGCTCGCTGTGGGGAAAAACCCATGGCTGAGAAGCTCTTTGCCTGATTGCACCCCCAACCCCCCCCCCAGGATTCCCAGCATGCCAGTCTGCAGTCTTTTAGTCCGCGGATGAACCTTGAGTATCCGTCTTCAACTTCCTGCTTGTGCTGGGATTGTGGGTGCTCCCTCCAGGCCAAAGCAACTTCATGACTCCAGTTATTATTTACTATTTAAATGTTTGCTTTAATAATATTTCACATACAAATTAATTTAGTGTCCATTACTAGAAAACACAAATAATGAGAAATCTGAAGGTTAACAGACCTAAAGCAAACAGAGTAAAATGCCTCCCCAGTGACACGCGTTGTGCTCAATGGACAATGATTTTTAACTCTTTCATGTTCGAGCAACGGATCATTTTCGATGAGCCACGTGTAGTCCACTTAACTTTATTTGAATCAAAATGAGACCACAAGGCATTGATGAAACCCAACGTCCTTCTTGAACGCGCAGCATCGCCCTCAAACATTTCCTTTCATGGCCATTTTTCATTGTATTAGTGTAGAAATGTACCTTCAAAAAGAACACTAAACCAAAAAGATGTAGGAGCAGAAAAATAGTAAATCTACAAGAAAAGGACAGCGAATGTCATCCTTGTAAAATCGAGTCTGCTGACATGACACAGGGGCCCATTCAGAAGCCTGACAAAAGCTCATTCATATCCAAGGGTGTACATCTGGGTGCATAAGACGAGAGATGAGCAATGCAACATAGAGTGCAATGAGCTACTAATTTGAGTTTGATTAGCTGGAATTTATTTATTTAAGTAATCATCAAATGTATTTCTTTAACACTGCCATTCAGCATTTAGCTCTACTATGCATTGTTAAGAGGGAACTGTAAGGTACATATTGGGTCGATGTTTTTCTGCGTTCTCTTTCACAACATAAATGAAGGTAACGTGTGGGTAAACCGTGTCCTTTCACTCCGGCATTGGTCAAATAAATTCAACCATTAATCCTGGATTTTACTCTGCTGAGCGTTTAACTCTAAGAAAGAAAAGAAAAATGGGCCGTATGCACCCAAATGAACACAGCAGCTGTTTTTCATAAACAAACAGGCCAAACTCAGACACCCACATGCTGATCAGAGACATTGTAACCCCCTCGTGGATCAGATTCTACGTATCCCAGGAGCTCTCTGTGGCTCTGTTAACATGCCTGGCAAGCACTGATTAGGTACCTGCAAGCACAAAATCCATTTGCACAAGCACAAACGCACACCATAGTGATTAAATGGGCAGTGGGGTGAGGTAATCCTGCAGATACTTCAATCTAATTATTACCTCAATTTGTCTTTGACTCTTTGACTTTGTGTAGTTTAATTCAAAACAGATATTGAAACCGGATAAACCAAGTGAGAGTGATGTGTCAAATGAGGAAAAGCTACAATTTAGCAGGATATCTGTTCTCCTCTGCTTAAATGCGTCCTCTATGAATGGAACATAGCCATTGGTCAAAGGTGGATGTGTGTCACCAGAGCTGCCGTTTGTCCAGAGCTGCCTGAGCAGACGCTCCAAAGGAAGGAAAAACATAAAATACACTATGAACCACGAAGGACTTGCTCCATGTAGGATTTAACATCATAAGCGTCATTATTCGGAGGTCACTTAGCTGTAGGAGACCACGGCAGGCACAACACCAGGGGCTGAAAACAAATTGTTTTTGAGGCACCAAACATCCACGATGGTGTACGAGTGAGGTGTCTGTCTGTGGATGAAATCCACACACTGACAAACGCACACACGTGGACACATCACCGGACATACACACTAAATACAAGGGTCACCCAGACACACTTCAAAAGACCCTCCCCCCTGTTGCAGATCCAGTGATAACTCTCTCCCTCATACTCTCACCCATTATCGCACACACACACACACACACTTATACACATATTCCTATAAAACACTCACCGTCTCCTGAGGTGTTGGTGGCTGAGGAATTGCCACAACCCATTTTGCATCGATGCAGCCACCGTCCAAGCAGAGCAGAGACTCTTAAGGAGATGAAGGAGGAGGAAAAGCACGTTGGGGTAAAGAAATGTATTTCACTGTAAATGACACAGGGATCTCTTTTGGTCTTTTTTCTCCCGCCCCCCCGCTCCCTCTCCCTTCTGTTCAGCGTTGTGCTCCTCTCGGCGGAGCAGTGCCGAGCTGAGAGTGGAGTGAAAGCGTGGAGAGAGGCGCCTTTATACGCATGCACACGCAAACACACACTGACTAAGAGAGGGAGGCTGAGGGGAGAGAAAGATGCTGTGCCTTCACATGATTTGCTCTTTTCCTCCACCCTGAAACGGTTGCCTGGAAACCGGGGGAAAGTGGGCGGAGGATGGGGTGAGAGTCAGCCAATAGTGAGCTTACTTTGTTCGTATAAATGTGTGTGGGGGGGGAATCAAATACACTTAAGGGTCACCGATGTATCTGCCTGTGTGGGACAACCTGTAACATCCTCAAATTGTCTTTGTTCGCTGAACAGAAGACCTCTATTCGTGCTACCCGCACATTTGAGGGAAGTTGAAGCAATCCTCGTACTGTCTTGTAATCAAACCACCAGGGTCACATGCAGGTCCGCTCGCAGACCCAATTGAATCCCAATTCAATATCTTCCCCTTCTTCAGTCACGTCATTCGGAGCAGTCATGTGAGTGGAGTTGGGACGACAGAATGACTTGCATTAGCAGTTTCCACCAGTGAAAAAAAGTCTCACATTCAGTCAGTGGTATTATTTTATGGCGGTAAGATGTCTGTGTGGTTGAGCCTCAAGATTTGGAAATTCCTAAATTAAGACGGTGCACATGGTTGTCATTATACCTGATAAACATAACATGCGTGTTTTATCTGAGAGAACATTACCATTGTGTAATAATAACACACTGGCGATGAACGTGGCTAAAGTTTTCTACAAAGGGTAAAGTATACAACTGGAAGTCATGTACTTATCATCCTGAGTCACAAACCTTTGTACTGTTCTCTTCTTTCCTCTAAAGATGTGTGTCCTTGGTCAGCTGAATCCCTTTATCCCTTTATAAAAAGTATTTTTGATTTGAACTCAAATAAAGTCTGAACTCAATTGCCTTATCTAATTTAGAGGCACTACTTACCCAATTAACCAACAGAAGTCCACTGGGGAGGACAGAATGCGTCCCTGCTGAGGATGCCTGACGAGCAGACTCAGCTTGTTATGACCTGACTACAGTGTCAAGACACAAAACAACGTGGCTTGGTCATCTTATCAAATCAATTTGACTATCAGTTGGCCCCTAAAGGTCGGAGATGTTGACTCCCTTTCAATGATTTCTTAGTTAAGTTGTCCCATAACTGAGTTACTTCCATGGCAGTTGTCACTGCTCTCTCAAGATCAGATTGCCGTGGAAACAGGTGAAGTAAAGGTTAAGGGGTTGTTGGGGTTTCTTGCTTTTCATTCCCCCCTCAGTGTCCAAATAAACAAAGAGTTAAATCACTGTTGTTTTGACTTAAATGAAGAATCATAGAGACAGTATGGTTTAGCAGGATTTAATTTTAAAAAGTGGATGGTATTAATCTGCCTGGATGATTCTCAGATTATTGTTTTACAAGAGCCAAGGGACCGAGAGGTTTACAGGTGATTCTACGCCTCACAATTTGTTTGTGGTCTGAAAATGCTGTGGGAAGAGTAGAAGAGCATTTTCTGCTGTTCGCTGGTGTACTTTTTTTTATTTTTTAATATTTTTAACTTCAACTTGTATTCCTTTATTTTAAACTAACTCATAGCCCTATATTACTAACCCATAGCATTATATTTTATTCCTATTGCAGTTGTCTGCTGTTACGCACCAACCGCCAAGTCAAATTCCTTGTATGTCTGACATATTATGGGAATACATTTTTCCTGGTTCCTGATTCCTGAAACTGACATCAACGTATTGTTCAAACAATCAATAATAAAAATAAAAATGTACTACCCTAATGCAACTTTTTTTTCTTATAAGGCTGCAAAACACAATATTTCAGATTAGTATTGTTGTATAGCCCACTTCAAAACATGGAAGACAACTAAAAAGCATTTGATGGTATTTTTACATAATCAATGAATTACTATAATTATTGTAATACAATACATAGTAAAAACAAAGATTTAGTTTGCCTTTTAAGTACTAATATTTTAACCGTAAAATACTACCGTGTTGTTCTGTTTGGATGTTGTGCAATTAGTCAAAGGTTTTTTTCAAGGAACCAATACAGGTTTTGGAAATGAATCTCCATATTATGTATATATGTGTCCACACGAGGACACTGTTGGTACTGAAATGGTGAACATATTAGCCGCATCTTACATCTACTTTAACAGAAAAAACTGTCCATTTAAACTTTGAAAAAAATCAAATTATATCTTCAGAAAATAATAAAACGATATACAAAACCATGCAAATGTTTGGTGTGGACATAAAGTGAAGCGGTTTTGCACAGGTCACTCTTTTGGGCTGTAGATGAGATCAGACTGGGCCCGCTTCCAACTTCCACGTGGTCCTCTCACGCGCGCAAAGGCTGCTGGGAAACGGAGTCCCCACTCTTAATCATTCATGGTCCCATTCCTTCTCTTCCACCGCTAACAAGATGCCGGCCGTACATCACAAACTGCTCCTGGAGGACGCTTTGCAGGACAGTCCTCAGGTAGGAGCGTGTTTGCGTGTGTTCTTTACACGTTTGAGGACACAACTGTCGCACAATGCGACGTTACTAGCGCTGAAGTTAGCCTGTTAGCACGAACAATATCTTGCCCCCGTTGAAGGCGGTTTCCACTGCTCGGTGACAGCCCCCGATAGAAACACCGTTAATGGGCTGTGATACCGCACACCGGGCCGCCTGTGACTATTTTAGCGACGTTATAGTTCACACTGCTAATCACAATTAATGGCGTTCATGTGACTGGGCGTTTTGTTTACAACGCTTCCCAACGCTGCACGCAGGCGTAGCGTTGCGGTTAGAGTCCCATCAGCACGGAAGCACAGAATCACTAGCGTCTACGTCTTTGGGCTGGAACCTGTCCCGGAGACGGACTGGGCCTTACTGGGAATGTTCCATTATCGGACAGCGGCTGTGTGCTGTTTCAGGCTTCGAGGTCTGCAGTTCAGTTTGATTTCTGGAAGTTGGCCACAGAGAAGTAACGCAAGGCCTCGTTTATCAGCGAGGGTGACGTGACGTGACGTGCGGGGCGGTATTTACCGCTGTGCATCCTCTGATGTAGGCGGCGGTTGGATGTAACCCCGTCTCCCCTCTGCTTTCAGTCGCATCCTCCCTTTCCGGCGGACTCGATAATTGTTCTGCTTGAGTGCACTGCGTGCTGGAGGGTCAGTTCTGTTTTCATGGGGCTCCTGCTGACATGAAAAAGGGCTGCAGTAAAATGTAAACACAGATCTTTTTATTTTTTTTGGGGTGTGAAATTGGTTTTGACCCTTCAGTAAACTGGAGTGAACTGGAAACTCGCTCTTGCTGATGGGTGTGTTCCTCTCTGCTGTAGCTGCACCTGTTAATGAAATAAAAAATACACAGAGTTTTCCCAGTCCGCCTGCAGAAAACTCCTTATTCTTCTACTTACAGTTTCACTCTGAAGCTGCAGCTACTCTTTCTATCTCTCTTATGTCATCGTTTCTCCTCCCAACGAGGTTCTTGTGAAAATCTTTTATGAATTCCAGGTTTCCTCAAATTGTTTTTAACTTTGCTACTATGTCAAGTGCCCATCTCACTGTTGCCCAATTAGCATGCCATAATTTACATTTTCCGATGTCAAATCTCATCTATGTCAAAACAAATGCTCAAGCTTACTTTCATAATAATCTAATACATACCTTAATGTGATTAGCAGTTATTGGTGCAACTTAGTTATTTACATGTGTGATTCATTGGCTGATTATACTCCTGACTATTTAGTTTGTGGATTAACTCCACAGCATATAAACCCCGCTTAACTTAAGAATGTATTTGCACACAAAATGAGGCCTTTGCATTTTTGCCTCCCATGATTTGCGTTGGGATCGGTAACCATTAACATTAGGAAATACTCCAGCCAGTAAAACCTGTTTCAGTCTTTACGTGGGCGCCTCCTTGTTATGAGACATGAGAGACTGAACCTGTCCTTCATAAGTGAATTCAACTACGGTCTCATCAGTTCATCCCGGTGTCGTATTCATCCATTATCTTCCACAGACTCGCTCCCTGCTCAGCGTGTTCGAGGAGGATGCCGGGATGCTCACAGATTACACCAACCAGCTGCTGCAATCGATGCAGCGTGTGTTCGGAGCCCAGGTACTGAACACGGAGACCCGTGTGTGGCTCTGTTGAACAGCAGCTAATTACACCTCTCCAAATTTGTCACAAAAATCACACAGCATTGTTTTGGCCTCAAGAATTAAATGTGCAAATGACTGTTTGGATGTTGTTCTAATGTTTCACAAATGCTTCATGGCAGAAAATAAGGAAATTGATGGATTTTTGGGGCAGACATGGATCACGTAAACGCATGCAAGCACTGTGCGTTGATTCTAGTTTTACACCTGGACAAGAGAGTCATAACTTTATCTGCCTGTTGAAGAGGATTTGGGATTAAACATTTGCAATGATTGAATGACCGTAGAGGATTGATTTGGTTCACACTTACCAGAAGATGTTCCTTTTTGAACAGACAAATGCCAAACCAGGATATTATATTGGTTAACCTCTCAAATGAAAACCGACCCCATTTATGCACCGACGGTTATTGAAGAAGAAATAGAGGACCTTCTGATTTGCAGCTGAAATGGAAGTACTCCAGGTACACTGCCGTTTATAACCACCTCGCTGCACAATTCATTCAGTAAGGTTTTTGGTAAGTGGGGTGAAACTCATTTTGTGCTGTCAGGGTGTAGATAGGTTTGACTTTGCTGTTCTTTGTTCTCTGGAGAATATACTTAAATGTTGCAGTCACACTGTAGGCTTCATTTTCCTCCTGAAAGCCCACATAACCTGTGAAACATGACGCCAGGCCTTGGAATCCCGAGTAATCCTTTGTGCTCCCTTTGTCTTTCTGCCCTTTATCTGTCCCCTGCAGAGCGAGATGGGATTGGCCACGGAGCAGCTCTCCAGGCAACTTCTGGATTATGAGAAGAAAGTAAGTATGTGCGCTGTGGTTTGGGGACATGTCCCTGTCCCTTTTCTTTCGTCATCTCTATTTTCCTACTGCAGTACCTCTGATGATTTTCTCCTGAACAGCCAGTCATCGTAGTCCAGACACGTGTCTTAATGAAATCTCTGTGCGTGAAATAACTTTGAAATAAAAGCGCCCCTCTGTGGGCAATTTATCATGGGGGCGCCGTTTTATGCAGCCAACGAGAGCTAAAATAGAATAGCTGCTGAAGTCAACAGAGCAGGTCTATTAAATCATGCTAAATGAAAGACATGTGCATCAGTCAGGTCTGTGAGTTGCAGAAGGAAAATCGGGCCAGTAAAAAAGGCAACGACCAGTAATGGATGTTCTTTAAGCTCCTTTAAACAAGACGTTATTAGCATATTTGGCCCTATTCTATAAAGGGAACTTCTGTCCCAGCAGGCTACTTTGTTCTTTACTTCTTGGCACATTTTATATATATATATATATATATATATATATATAATTTCTATAATGTTGCATAGATGCAACATCATGCAGATTCATCAGGCTTTAAACACGTCTCCCCCCTCCCTTCTACTTCTAACTAGAACTTTGCCCTCGGAAAAGGTGACGAAGAAGTGATCTGCACACTGCAGAACTTTGCCAAAACTGTAGGGGAGGTGAGTTTGCACTTTGGTTCTTTTTAGATGTGTAAATGTACGTGTGTGTCTCGCAGCAGAAGAGAGCGGCGATAAACTCCTGCATTGTCTGTCGGCTCTTTATCGTGTAGCTCCTGTGCTCCACTTGTGTTCTGGTGGAAATTACCTCAACGGAAAGACCTGACCTTTTTAACCTCGCTGTAAGACAAGAACTGATTGTATACAGCCGCTAAGGGGGAGCGGTGAGGTGGTTGTGATGCTCCGTTGGATAGACAAAACAGATGGGCCCTTCAATGTAACACTTGACTGTCCAGTCGACACTCAAAGAGATTTAGGATACACCGATCAACACACACATGCTCAGAGGACACAGGGGGATTGTTTGCTTGACCTTTAGCTCGTGTTTTACAGCCGAGAACTCGTTTCACAACAAGTATTAAGCCGAAGGCGGCACCTGATCCTATGAACTTTAGCACTTGCTCAGTGGTTGAGATGAACCTGGATGTCATCGTGTTAGATGGAGTCTAGCTCGTTGGTAAGCATTGAGATCTCTAGCAGGATTTGCTGTGTGTGCTCATGTTTCCAACGTCGGAGAAAACCAACAGTTTTTATTATTTTCTTCCACTAATGTTTCACAAGAGGGGCTTTGTCAGTTATTCACCCGTTACGCTCAAAAAGCCTGCTGGAGGAAATGTAACTGGCTGCAAATGTTGCTGTAAATATTGAAATAAATCGAAATCCCTCAAGAGGTTTAGCAAGGGTACATCTTTTGTTTGTGTCCTTATGCACTGCTTGACATTTTTGTATAATCATCTGTCCTTTTTCTTTTTTCTTTTTTTTTACATCCAGCTGAATTCGCTGCACTCTGAGCTAGCAAACCAGATGGCTGACAGCATGGTTTTCCCCCTGATCCAGTTCAGAGAGAAGGACCTTACTGGTAGGGACACACGCACACACGCACGCACGCACGCACACACACACGCACACGCGCAAATATTTTCCTAAAAAAGGTTTTTATCCGCTGCCAGACTGATAAATCGGAGGATACAGGCAATAAAACGTGAGGCATCCGAAGGGAAAACTGAGATCCTGTGCATCAATATGTCAATGTAATAATATATCAATAAGTGTGCTGTGAGCATTTGGTCCAAAGGTCGGTTTTAAGCTAGCTACATTTCAGCTATGAAGCTGGTAAACAAATTGCCCTAAAATGATCTTCTGACATGCACAAAAGCTATTTCAGGTTCCCTGAGTGTGGGACAGATTAATACAAAGTATTTGTTTGCCTTTTGAGGAGAACGTACGGTTAAACACGGGCCGTGTTATGTTGCTATAAACAAATGGGCTTGTAATTATAATGTTAAGATTTAACGAATTGTTGTCCGCGATGAAAAAGGACAACTGGCAACTGGTAATGTCGGAGAGGCTTTTTTGGCTCCCCCAGGTGTTTTATTCCGAGGGGGGGGGGGGCTGATTAAGCACAGGCTTTTAAAAAAAAATGTTTTTAGATAATCTAACAACTTCGTATACGTCGACTCTTTCAGAGATAAGCACACTGAAGGAGATCTTTGGCATCGCCACCGACGGTAAGTAGAAATCCAAACTGATTTTGGAAAAGCATCACGCAGCAGTCACTGTCTGATCCTCCATGTTGTTAATCTACTCTCCTGCAGAGCACGAGGCAGCTATGGTCAAATACAGCCGATTGCCCAAGAAGAAGGAGAATGAGAAGGTAGAGTGAGTGCGAGGCCCAAAAGCTCCTGAAAGGCTCACATCCAAGTATGACCCTTGTAATGCAGTGGAATTATTTCATTGGCATTTTGAGTACAACTAGATGGAATTAACTACTCTGTCCTGGAGTTTTAATAATACTGTAACATCGCCGTGCCTTATAACGGATGCAGAGCAAATGTTCCTTTGCCATTTGTTTCCATTGGAATATCTCTTCATGTCCAGCTGGACGTTCAAGATGATGTGACGAGTCACTTATTTGTATGTGTGATCGAGTAGGCCAATGATTTGCATATGTATGAGTGTGTATAGAGAGCTCGGCGGTTTATGTAGACTGTATAGTTGCATGTTTAAGCCTCTCCCGTCTGCACAGCTGAAGTCTGATTTGGTGAAGGAGGTGGCGTACACCAGAAGGAAGCAGCACCAGGCCTCACTGCAGTATTACTGCGCCCTCAACGCGCTGCAGTACCGCAAGAGAGTAGCTATGCTGGAACCCATGCTTGGCTACACACAGGCTCAGGTACTCGGCAGTCTAGTTCGCACACCATTACCATTCCAGTATACATATTCAGTATTCAAAAACAAGGGAACTGGCTTGGTTTTCAAATGCTATTTGTTCGCATGCAAAATGTCAAAACATCCCAAACTACTGAGAACAAAACGTTTGTAAGCATGTAGTCACTTATTAGAAAACTAGTTTCCAAGTGGAAATGCCAAAGCGCCTCTGTTACCAGCTTCACTAATGTGAGAATTTGATGCTTTCATCTTAAATATGTCAAATCAAATGAAGGTGCATTTAGTATTTATAACTATAGTCTTCCGTTTTACAGATGATTGATTGAGCAAAGAAACGTCCACCAATAATGAGATGGTATAAAGTTGAATTAGAACAAGTACAAACTGAATTGCTTATTATTCCCTCAAACTTCTCAGATCAGCTTCTTCAAGAAAGGCATCGAGCTGATGTCAAAGAAGATGGACAACTGTCTGTCCTCTGTGTCTGACATGACTCAAAGGTGAAGACCCGTTCACGTGTGCACTAAATGTGATGAACCGCAGCTTTTGTATTAATATGATAAAATAATGACTGTGTATGATCCCCAACAGAAATAATAGTATTGTAATGTTCTGCAGAAGATGTTTCATAGTTTAAATGAGCCTCTTCGGGCAATGCAACTGTGATTTTACAGAATAGTTTAACTTATTTTAATGATAAAAGCATCCATGTTGTATCTTAATGCTAGAAAAGGTTGTGATGATTTGTCTGTTTTTCTACCCCTTTTCCCTGTCTAGCATCCAGGCCCAGCTCGACACGGAGGCGGAGGCCATGCGTGGGTCCCAGAGGGAGTTTCTGTCCGTGGAGGACACGGTTTACATGCCAGATAAGGACATTGAGCCCGTCAATCGCACTCTCATCCAGAAGGCTGGATACCTCAACATCAGGAAGTGAGATTCATTTTACCCATCTTAAATCCTGGGACGCTTCCTGTTCACGTTTAGGGATTAATGCAGTTTAGGAACATGCTCCGACTCCCTGATTTTAGCTTTTCTGGCCAAAGTTTCTGAAAGTAGGTGAAGCACCGTAAACAATCCGTCCGTCACAGCAGACAAGGTGGGTCAGGCAGCATGTTGACAGCGTGCGTTGTCAGCTTATACCAGTGTGGATGTATGAGATGGGAAACCTCCTTAATGGCCTCGGGGAGGTGGGGGGTAGAACGGCTGCATAGCCTGCAATGTGATTTAGTGAAATGTCAGAGCTGTCAAACTCTGTCTCTTGCTCATATATATTCAAAGTCTCTGACAAATGTCTGTGACACCAGAGAAAAGGTTTCCACAGAATGCCACTCTGTTTAATGACACACACACATACACAACGCCAGCTGCCTCAAACACTCCAAATGAGTCCAGAGAACATTTGTTATTTCCACTGGCTTCTCAGTATTAAGGCGTCTCAGTCACCCACAGCAGTACGAGACATTTATTTTGATATTAATCAAAGTTCATCCAGGAATGTTTTTCAACCTGAACGTGGAAGCGGCCGGCGTACAGGTGAGCCGTTTAGATGAGTCCTACACGTGTCACTTTGTTTTGAAGTGAGTCAAAGTCAGATTATATTGTAGATCCCAAGACCTGGAAATATCCAGCTGTTTCTAAGGCTTTGCATACAACAGTAGTGTGTGAACCGGTAATAACCAAAAATAAAAGTCAGTGGGGCCACAACAAATGTTAGATTTTTTAAAGGAAGGTAAAGTCGTAATGATCTGCAGGAGAGCGTCTCCGTTCCTTTTGAAATGTAATACAACATCTTAACAAGCATGTCATGACCGAGGACTGTTTGACAAGATGAAGCAATTTCATTTCTGTTCATAATGTTGCAGTTTCTTTGAAACTGAATAACCTAATTCATTTGATTACTCCTATTAAATATTTGATGGTTTATGTTTGTCATAAGCAGTGGGACATGCATTCTTGTTTGCAGAAAAAAAACCTTGAAGCCTGAATCTCCATCACATCCAGTTTAAATATGTCGCCCACTTCACCCATTAAACTTCCCATCATGCCACTATTACGTTTTCCACATTATTTTCCCAAAGTGCTGACTTTTTAAAAATGTACTTTCCTCAGTAAAACCGGGCTGGTGACCACAGCGTGGGACCGACTGTATTTCTTCACCCAGGGGGGGAACCTCATGTGTCAGCCGCGGGGGGCGGTGGCGGGGGGCATGGTGCTGGACCTGGACAACAGCTCTGTCATGGCTGTGGAGTGTGAAGACAGACGCTACTGTTTTCAAATCACCTCCCCCTCAGGGAAAACGTATGTGCACCTTTTCAACATATAATATAAACACAATGCACACTGCATTGGATGCATTTCATTTAATTATCTCCATTGCCATCAATGCCTCCAGATCAATGATTCTACAAGCTGAAGGCAAAAGGGAATATGAAGAAGTAAGTGTGAAAGAGGCAGATGAAACCGCTTTGATGTTCCTCGTTGTTTTTCATCTTCATCTCAAAGAGATCTGCTGGTCAGAAAATGTCATGGTTTTCATATTGGGTCTCTGGCTTGGACACATCTGACGGGCCCGTCCCAGCTGGTATCTGTCAAGTGGGTTGAGGTGAAGGTGAAGGAAGTTCTGATGTGGATCTCTTTTGTTTCCTGTGTAGTGGATTTGTACTGTGAACAACATCTCCAGACAGATCTACCTGACTGACAACCCAGAGGTAACGCACACTCCAACGCAACGATGTCGCGCTCATGCACACTCCAACGCCGTCGCGCTCACGCGCACTCCAACGCAACGCCGTCTCTCGCGCACTCCAACGCAACGCCGTCTCTCGCGCACTCCAACGCAACGGCATCTCTCGCACACTCCAACGCAACGGCGTCTCTCGCGCACTCCAACGCAACGCAGTCGTCTCTCGCACACTCAAACGCAACGGCGTCGTCTCTCGCGCACTCAAACGCAACGCCGTCGTCTCTCGCGCACTCCAACGCAACGCCGTCATCTCTCGCTCTACACGCAACGCCATCGTCTCTCGCGCACTACAACGCAACGCCGTCGTCTCTTTCTCTACAACGCAACGTCGTCGTCTCTCGTTTTACAAGCAACGACCTTCGTCTTCTGGGTTAAAAAGCAGAGGCGTCGTCTTTAGTTCTACAAAGCAACGGCATCGTTCTCTGGCTTTACACGAAAACCAGTCTTCATTGAGGATAACAAAATCAACTTTTGTTCTGAGGGTATAAAAAG